GTCTGATTTTGAACGTTAAAGCTAGGTCCGGGTCCAACTTACTCTTTGCCGACTACAATTGGCTACGATAAACATGATGTTCGTAAAATCCGTATGCCGCAATATTCATTTGGGGCTAGATTCGAACAGAAGAACAAAAATTACACACCCGGACCTAGCTTTAACGTTCAAAATCAGACAAGATATGGTCGACCGAGAGTGCTCGCATATACCATGGCTCCTCGCACATTCCGTCAAGGTAACAGACATTGCGTCTAAGCATAAGTTCTAAGCATAGTTTTACTATTATATTTGGTATAAAACAGTTAAAAGCATTGGTCCCGGCCCAGCGAATTACGACTTAAACAAATCCCCATATGTAAATTCCACTAGACCGCCTGAATACTCGATTAGCCGTCGGAGCAGCATTCCAAATAAAAATATAGCACCTGGACCAAATGCCTACGGTGTTAAGGATCATCTTGTAAAGCCATCCGCTCCTTATTACAGCATGTAAGATCGAGGCCTGCAGACCAAATTCTCATATCAGAGCTGTAGTTATAATTACACTTCAATTTCAGGGGTACTCGTTCCGGCTTGAAAGAAAAAGGTGGTTCACCAGGTCCTGCCAACTACAATCCCGGCGATATTAATATTACATTGACAGCTGCGCCCAAATACACTATGCGTCCACGAACAAAGTTAGCAACGAAGAGTGTAGGACCTGGTGAACCACCTTTTTCTTTCAAGCCGGAACGAGTACCCCTGAAATTGAAGTGTAATTATAACTACAGCTCTGATATGAGAATTTGGTCTGCAGGCCTCGATCTTACATGCTGTAATAAGGAGCGGATGGCTTTACAAGATGATCCTTAACACCGTAGGCATTTGGTCCAGGTGCTATATTTTTATTTGGAATGCTGCTCCGACGGCTAATCGAGTATTCAGGCGGTCTAGTGGAATTTACATATGGGGATTTGTTTAAGTCGTAATTCGCTGGGCCGGGACCAATGCTTTTAACTGTTTTATACCAAATATAATAGTAAAACTATGCTTAGAACTTATGCTTAGACGCAATGTCTGTTACCTTGACGGAATGTGCGAGGAGCCATGGTATATGCGAGCACTCTCGGTCGACCATATCT